AAACATATTTCTTTTGTTTTGAATGATTTATATGCATTTATTGTTTCCGCAATTAAGGGCCCGTAATTGTGTGAGTTTGGGTGATTTATTCTTGCATTCGAGAGAATTGGAATAGATTCGACATAATATAAATCATCGTAGGGTCCGATAGGGGATAGAAATATACCGCTATGCCCTACGTGAATCTTTAAGTGTTCATAAAACTACATGCATTTTTACATATGCACTTGTCATAGAAATATAGGCCGGTGGTATGTAGAAATAGGTTTGATACATCTCGAGAGAGAGTATTGGATAGACTTAGGAACATTGATTCGTCAACAATTGAATTATGTTGTCATATTGTGAAACTAGAGTTTAAAGTGATAATTGCATGGGAAATCGTGATCCTAGTGTGTTTAATTTCTATTGATTACAACAAACGTGCGTTCTCAACAATTATTTCATTTTAGAGTTTTAAATTATTGTTTTGCTTATTAATTTCATTACAATCATAAAAGTTGCATAAGTAGGGTTTTCTTCCCAATTTTAAAGTTTTAATTAGGTCCACATTCATTTTGAGTAATTTGGTTTCGGTTAAGGTCAAATAAGTAAAATTGAACTAACCAATCTCTGTGGGACGATACTCGGACTCATTGAATCCACTTTATTACTTGTTAACGAACCGTACACTTGCGGTAATTTAAATCGAAAGAAAATATTTCGTGAACAGTATGAAGGCTCTTGAATCTCTCACACTGAAGGTAAGCTCGCCCAACTTACTTGGTGTATTAATAAGGTTTATACGATGTGGTTGCTTAAGCTCGGGTTTATATGATGCAGGCTCAGAGCATTGCCCGGGCCTTTCTCTAAAGGAGAAAGACGAGGCACAAAAAACTACTGAACTCGAGGACATTTCTCGAGCACATGAGAAGAGGATAGCCGACTTGGAAGCTGAGCGCTTTCTTCTTCAGAGGGAGCTCGAGGACTCGAAGAACGATGTCCAGAAAGCTCGGGAAGAGGCTGGAGCTGCCAAGGGCGAGGCCGAGGGTTTAAAGCTCGAGATCGAGCATTTGAAGATTGATTTCGAAACTCGCCTGGCTGAAGCTCGAGGGGTTGGGATTGAGGATTTCAAAATGTCCGAGGAGTTTAACGGGCTTAAGGGAGAGTACGCCATGGGCTCGTACTTCCACGCTTTCAAGGAGGCTTGGGCATTTTTGAGGTCGAAGCCTGACGCCAAACCCAAGGATTTAAAGAGCATCCCTGAGGTTGCTGATGACCTCGTGCTTTCAGAGTCCGAGGAAACCGTCGAAGACCATGAGGTCGATATTGACGGCAAGGACGCGGCGGAGGAGCAGGGGAGCACGGCCTCGGGAGAAAGAGCCGTGGACCTAGATTAGTTTATGTTTTTTCCTATGATGACATCCCCCTTCTTTTGTATTTTGAACAAGTATTCTGCTCGATCAAGTATTTTTCTTTTTGTGCTTGTATAACTGATGTTTTGATCATGACAAACTCAAATAGCTCGATGTTAAGATGGTTCAATAACTTCACGCCTAAGATGAATTGAAAACTCAACGCCTAAAGTAGTTAAATATCTCGAGGACTCAATTTTAAAATCATTTCCGAACATTATAGCATGTACACAAAGTTATCCCGTCGACAAAAAAGATTAATTATCTCGACGACAAATTAATCATCTCGACGATTGAGAAGAAATAATTCGATTTTAAACAATTCATAATGCCGAGGACAGTGGTGAATGTAGGATGTTGTTTAACACTTGATGGTAAAAAATATCCCGACGTCTAAGATAACTTAATTCTTGACGATTGAGAAAAATTAATTCGATTTTAAGCGTATCATAAGGCCGAGGACAGTGATGAATGTAGGATATAGTTTAACATCTTGGTAAAATTATCCCGACGTCAGTATTGAATTACCTCGAGGACTAATCGCGAGGGGTGGTAACCTCGAGGTGTACGAAGAATTGTGACCGACCTCTGTATAGAAATATATCCCGAGCTTTCACTTTGGAACCTTAGACAAAAATTCAAGGATAGATGTATGTCCTCGGGATGTTTACTTGTGCTGCACGATTTTGATGTGCTGATTATGGGCTCCAAGGTTTTGGTGCTTTCTCGGGGCAAGGCCAGGTGCTTGCTCGAGGGCAAGGCTTACATTGCTTGTCGAGGACAAGGCTTAAGGCGGCTTGCTCGAGGGCAAGGCTTACATTGGCTTGTCGAGGACAAGGCTTAGGTAATTCCTGGACGCAAAGCAAACTATCGGGTTGTTATACCCGAGGTTTGAATTTATTAATTCCTTGGACTGGACTCGAATTTATATTGTATCCAAGCTGCCTACGTACCCAAACGGGATCAAACCGAACATAGTTCATTACAAAAGAAAACGGAAAACATGCATGGGCACGCAGGCTCGCTAAACTAGAAATAAAATGTAAGGGCACGCAGGCCCGAAGAACCAAAAATAACATTCAGAAGAATTTAAAATGCAGGAATAAAAAGAAAATCTCTTAGATGACATCGAGAATGTTACTTGTAATATATTTTCAGATTATCGGCATTCCAGGGCCTTGGAAAAGGTCTACCCGAAATGTCTCTTAGGCTGTATGCTCCTTTTCGAACCTATCGTATGACCTCAAAGGGTCCTTCCTAGATGGGCCCGAGCTTCCCTGGGGGGTGACCTGCTGCTTCGGCCCTCCTCAAGACCAAGTCGCCAGCTCTGAACCTCCGAGTCTTGACTTTGCTATTAAAATGTTTTACTGTCTTAGTTTGGTAAGAGGCCACCTTTATAGCGGCTGGCTCCCATACTTCTTCCAAGAGATCAAGGTGTTCAGTTGTATGCCCCGAGGTTCTGGCACAAGCCTCCTATGGCTTGGCAGTCTAATTTCCACCGGGACCATTGCTTCAATGCCATAGGCTAACATAAAAGGGGTTTCTCCTGTGGTTGTCCTATAAGTTGTTCTATACGTCCATAGTATAGAAGGTAGCTCGTCGGACCAAGAACCCCTAGCATTACTAATTCTTGTTCGAAGGTCTTGTAATATGATTTGATTTGTTACCTCGGCCAGACCATTGCTCTAAGGATGCGAAACTGAAGTCAGACGGTGATCAATCCCGAGGTTTGAGCAAAAGTTCCTAAACTGTTGATTGTCAAATTGCCTGCCATTATCGGTGAGAGGACCTTCGGTATCCCAAACCTGCAAATGATAGACCTCTAAGTGAAGGCTCTTAGCTTGGGCTCCGATATCGTGGCGAGAGGTTCGGCCTCTACCCATTTTGTGAAATACTCTACTGCTACAGCAACAAACTTTAATTGACCTCTTACCACAGGAAAGGGGCCGAGGATGTCAACTCCCCATTGTTCAAACGGGGCTGAACAGTTAATGTTGGTGAGGTCTTCGACTGGTGAATGGATAACATTGCCAAACCTCTGGCACCTATCACATCTCTTAACATATTCTGAGGCATCTTTCTTCATAGTTGGCCAATAGTACCCATATCGTATGAGTTTAAAGGCCAGGGCCCTGGCTCCTTGATAATTCCCGCACACACCTTCATGAACTTCAGCAAGGGCCTGGGATGATTCTGATGGTCTAAGACACCTTAGGTATGGAAGAGTAATACTTCTGCGAAAGAGGACACCGCTGATCATGCAGTACCTAGGAGCTCGAGCTCTGATGCTTCTAGCCAACCTGACATCGCTTGGTAGATTTCCACTTGTGATGAATTCTATGATTGGGTCCATCCAAGATGGTTCGTTGTCAATGTCCATGACGTCGGGGATTTGATTGATGCTGGGTTCTGTGATGACTTTGATGTAAACTGTTCTGTCCAGGCTGTCTACCCCCATGACCACAAGCCTGGATAATGCGTCGGCTTTTCCATTGTCCTTTCGAGCAATTTTTGCAATTTCACAACTTTTGAATTTTCGTTGAAGATCTTGAACCTTCATGCAGTACAAACTCATTTTCTCGTCTTTCCTTTCAAATGATCCTTCAATCTGTCCGACCACCAATTGTGAATCGTTGAATACCTTCACGAACTCGAGCTCAAGGCTAAGGGCTAGCTCTAGAGCAATGACGATGGCCTCATACTCGGCCTCGTTATTGGTTGCTTCAAACTCGAACCTAAGAGCGCATTGAATCTCCGTATGTTTGTCAGGGCTGATGATGATGACCCCTGCACCCAAGCCCGAGGAGTTTGATGCTCCATCTACAAAAATTTGCCAAGTGTCCAAATTGGTGCTCATGCTCGAGCCGTCACCTGGCCCCCGAGGACTAGGGGTTAGTTCTGCAATGAAGTCGGCTAGTGCTTGGACTTTGATAGATGGGCGTGGTTTGAATTCGATGTCAAATTCTCCAAGCTCGATCACCCATTTCATCAGTCTTCCTGAGACGTCCGGCTTTTGAAGTATATGCCTAAGTGGTTGATTAGTGAGCACCACAATAGGGTGAGACTGAAAATATTGCCGGAGTTTCCGTGCTGCTATCACCAAGGCAAGGCAAGTTGTTCCGCCAAAGTATACCTTGTTTCCGTATCTAGTAAGACCTTGCTTACATAGTAGATAGGTTGTTGGACTCTGTTAACCTCTTTCACCAAGACCCCGCTGACCGCGTTTTGAGATACGGCCAGGTACAAAAATAAGGTGTCACCAGGCTCAGGCCTAGTGAGAATAGGAGGAGATGCTAATGTTTGCTTGAGCTCCTGAAAAGCTTTCTCACAATCTTCACTCCAATCAAAGCCTTAGTTTCCTCTGAGGACTTTGAAGAAGGGATAGCACCTGTCTGATGCTCGGGACATGAACCTGTTCAAGGCTGCTATCCTACCAGTCAACCTCTGTACCTTTTCTTGTTCCTTAGTGATTCCATAGATGCCAAGACTTGTATTTTGTCAGGGTTAGCCTCTATCCCCCGGTGAGTGATCATAAAGCCCAAGAACTTGCCCGAGACTACGCTAAATGCACATTTTGCGGGGTTTAACTTTACTCTGTACTTTCGCAAGGTGTCGAAAACCTCTTCAAGATCTGAAATATGCTGGTCCACCTGTTTGCTCTTAACCACCATGTCATCAATGTACGCCTCCACATTCCTTCCAATCAAGTTAGCAAAGACTTTGTTGATGAGCCTTTGGTATGTTGTCCCTGCATTCTTCAAATCGAAAGGCATGACCTTATAACATTATATGGCAGAATCGGCCATGAATGACGTCTTTTCTTGATCTTCCTCGGCCATGAGGATTTGATGATAACCAGAAAATGCATCTAAGAACTGTATAGCTTATTTCCAGATGTGCTATCCACCAAGTTGTCAATCCGCGGTAGGGGATAACTATCCTTTAGACATGCTTTATTAAGATCTGTGAATTCAATGCAGACCCTCCACTTACCATTGGCCTTCTTTACTAAAACAACATTGGCAAGCCAATCGGGATATTGGACCTCCCGAATGAACTGAGCATTGACGAGTTTGTTAATTTCTTCGCGAATGACCTCCCGACGTTTTGGGGCAAACTGTCTTTTCCTCTGCTTTACTGGTCTGACCCATGGGCTAATGTTAAGCCTATGGACTACAATTTTAGAGTCTATCCCTGACATATCCTCAACCTTCCAGGCAAAAAGGTCAATGTTGCGAGATAAGCAACCAACAAGTTCTGTCTTTAGGGTGACGTCAAGATCCCGACCAATCATCACCTTCTTATCATGCTCGAGTTCAATTTCCATCAATTCTTCGACAGGAGCAAGTCTGACTTGTTGCCCAGCCTCGGGCTCCATTCTCGAGATTTGCATGACGTCGTTATTTATTTCCCGAACGCTGGCAACATAGCATTGTCTGGCAGCTGTCTGGTCTCCACGGACGACCCCAACGCCATTACTTGTTGGAAACTTCATGGCTAGGTGGAAGGTAGACACAATGGCTTTAATCTTGTTCAGGAGTGGTCTTCCCAGAATAGCGTTATAGGCCATTGAGACACGTACCACTTGAAAAGATGTCATCTCCGTAACCTATTTCTGGCCAGAACCCAAAGTTAGAGGAAGCTCGACGACAACCTCTGGAGTGATGACTCCTCCCCCAAACCCCTGGAGAGGAGTTTTAACCGCTTTGAGCTGCTGAGATGAGATTTCCATTTTGGCAAAAGCTTCTTGTGAAAGTATATTGGCCGCACTCCTGTTGTCAACCAAGATTCTCTTTACTTCAAAATTGGCCACAATCGCTGAGATTACTAAGGCGTCATCATGTGGAAGTGATACACCTTCTAAGTCCCCGGTCCCAAAAGTAATATCCTCCAGCTTTCCATGAGGCATCCCAGAGGCCAAGGCATATTATTGGGCATATTGTTTTCTTCCACTGTTGGAGTCTCCTCCCGAGACAATACCCCCAATGATGATATTGACGGTTCCAGCAGTGGGTTGACCATCCCTTTTGCCTCAGGGGCTTTTTCCCTGCCACGATCATTCCTCGGGCATTTGTCGTTACTGACGTAGGAACTCAAGAGTCCCCTTTTAATAAGGGCTTCAATCTCCCGTTGTAGGGCCTTACAGTTCTCTGTGGTATGTTCGTGATCCCGATGGAACTCACAGTACTTATTCATGTCCCTGGATTCGGGTGGTGACCTCATTCTGACCGGCCATTTGAGTTCCTTCATATCCTTGATCTCCATCAATATATTGGTCTTTGACATATTTAAACGCGTGAATGATGTCGGGGAAACCTCCTGTCTCTATTTTTTTCGATGTTGTTCTTCACGGGGGTTCGGGTCGTGCTGTCATTTATGCTCGACCCTGTCATGGGGTGGTCCAACCTTCTTCGAGTTCAGTGTTTCCTCCATATTTATGTATTTCTCGGCTCGGGTAAGAAGCTCGGTCACTGTCTTTGGCGGAGTTTTGGATAAAGACATCTTGAAAGCCTCGCACTTTATGGCATATGTGAGGGCAGAAACTGCTGCAGTTATGTGTAGGTCGGGAATCTGAAATCTTTCCTTGTTGAACCTGGTCATGAAGTCACGTAGGGTCTCATTTTGCCCTTGTCTAAGTTGCATGAGGAAAGCCGCCGTCTTCCTGATGCGTTTACTGCTTGCGAAGAAAGTAGAGAACTTGTCCGCCAAATCCGAGAATGAGGCTATGGAGTTGGGCTCTAAGGTTGAGAACCAATCCCTAGCAGCATTCGTCAAAGTTTGCAGGAAGGCATTGCAAATCACCTGATCTGGTGCGACCTGCAGATTCATGACGTCTGTGTATACGTTCAGATGATTGATTGGATCGGTGGTCCCATCATATTCTTTGATCCTAGGATACTTAAATCTGTCTGGCAAGGGGAATGTTAATATCTCGGGAGTCAAGGGAGTGTTGGGACTGAATCTTGTCGTCCCTTTGTTGCCATGAAGTAGGCCCGCTGTAATTCCTTCTTGAATAATCCTAGCGAGTTCCCTAGACTCCATGGTCACTGATCTCGAGGCCGAGGTCACATGTGGTATACCCGAGGCCCCTGCTCCGCCATTGTCAGGGACATGTCGAGCTCGAGCATCAGCCATAAAGCCCCCCTGGGGTGCTGGTGTGGGTGACGGATGCGAATTTCTTTGACTTAGCAGCTGAGTTAGTATGGCAACCTGTTGTCTGAGCTCTTCAAAGGCTCCAGCAGTGACGACTGCTGGCTGGGCTCTGGCACTTCTGATGATTCCTCTTGAGGAACAGGGATATCCTCAGGAGGGGGTTGGTTTGGAGCGGATGAGCTTGCTGGTGGAAGACCTGAACGTGTGTTTACCATGGCTTTTGGTAGCGTTTCCCACAGACGGCGCCAATGATGCTATCAAAAATCGTACCTGTAGATTTCCCGAGCTTGATAATTGATGAGGAGCACGAACGTGATCTTTCGGTACCTGAAACAAAGGCAACGAGGTGTGTTCTCGTCGCCCCTCCGATGCTTAAGTCAGAAAGGGAATTTTGTGCGTGAGGCTATGTGCTGAAGAACAATGAAAAACGTACCTGAATAATGGCTCAAGGTTCTATATTTATAGTAGTAAGTGACATTCTTCTAGTGGGACTCAACTGGCTGGATGTCCTCATCTGTTGGAGTCCTGAATAGTTAAGGAGTTGGTTTGAATTCCATAATTATATGTCGGATAGAATCCTTGTGGGAGTTAAGATTCCTAATTACGTAGGAATTCTAAAGGGTCAACCATCGTCGGTTGTGAAGGGAGCATATGCTCGAGGACTGTGATGCTCGAGGACAAGATATTTGCAATATGCGTAGCAGCAGGCGATGTGGTCGGGCTTAGTGTCTCGAGGATGCACATGCTCGAGGACACCATCGATGGATTTAAAACTTTACCAAAGATAATCGTCGGGATAATGTGTTGATCGGGGATATTGGAAAATGTCACCATCAAAGTGTATTACTTTAATATTTTATTTTTTAGAGGCCTTTTTACGTAATTTCCTCTTGATCGATTAAATCAAGGTTTAAAAAATATTTTTTAAAATTCCATTTATGTTTTTTATAATTTAATTTCTAAAAATTACCCTCCCTTAAGTAATTTGCATATTTCAAATAAATAATCTCATTATAATTTGTATATTTCGTGACGCAAAATACTATTTCCTTGTTTGATGAAGATTAAAATCAAAATTTTGGTAGATTTTGATAAAAGTTAATAAAATGTGTTGTTGAAAAGTTATGGTCTCATACAATAACGAATTTGATTTAGATTAAAATTTTAATTTTAATTTATACCAAATAAGACTATATGTTTTATTGATTTAGCGCATGTTTGAGCTACATTTTTAGTTAAAAATGTATTTTGAAATAATACATTGATGGAGAATGTATAATTAAAAAATAAGAAAAAAAATTAAATTTGAGTATAATTTTATTTTATTAAATAGTGTGTGATTGAAGAGAAGGGAGAAAAAAAATGTATTTTAAAAATAATTTTGATCAAATAAGGTCTTATAAAAACGTATTCTAAACTTGACAAAACGTGTTCTAAACATCCTTTTTCCTCATTAGTTCAAACAGAAGGTCATAGACGAGCAAGATTTTGTAAGTAGAGAATGGAAAATATGCATAATAATGGAGATTTTCGTTGCCAAAATATGGACATAATTGTCATTTACACTGTTCAATCGCCAAATAAGTATACACACCAAGCATGGGACATGTTACTATCTCAACACCATACAAGTTGAAGGGGCGATAATTTTTCCAATCGTGCTAATGACATATAATGATTGACACAATCAATTTTTCCATCAAATCATCTAAGATCACGTAGTACACATCCGTTTCATTTTTCTTCCGTTAATCCTAATTTTTCAGTGTGAACCCATTCATTTTTCAATAAAGCCAGTCAAACAGGGGAGGCTTTGTTGGGAAAAAAATGGTTGGTATTTTTACTTTTCTTTTTTTTTTTTCGAAGTATTCTTTTTGGGCCTAAGCCCCTCCTTGGACAACGTGGTTGTCACACAAACACAGCCAGCATTGTTGTTGTTTTTTCTTCGTCGCTCAGAGAGCGTACAATAATTGCGTGTCTAGCAAGATTAGTCAGACACACTTACATAATTTTTTCATTTCCCCATGCTCGCTGCTCAGCTCTCTCCAATAATGCTCCTCTCCACCACCACCACCACCACCACCACCACCGTCGGCAGAGCCCAACCAGAGCCCCTTCACGAGCCACCGCGTTTCAGCGAAGATATAGATGTAGAAAGCACTTGTTCTACCCCTTTCGTAAGTGCACCTTCCAGTCCTAGCTATGGCCCTTCTGGTTATTTCTTCAGTGCCCCAGTTAGTCCAATGCACTTCCTGTTATCCAGAGAGAAAAATAAACCTTCTGACCATGAACCCGTTTTATTGTCGTCGGATTCGAGTGAGTTTGAGTTTGAGTTTTCGTCTCGGTTTTCGCCAGATGGATCGGGTGGGTTAAGCTCCATGATTTCAGCTGATGAGTTATTTATAAATGGTCAGATCCGACCCATGAAACTGTTCACCCATGGAGAAGAAGACCAAGATGAAGAAGGTTGCACAAGAGGCAGGGATCTGAAAATGCGCAGTAATAAATACGCTCACCGTAAAGCCAGATCCATGTCGCCATTAAGAACCGCGCAGTACGAATTGCAGAGAGTGAGAAGTGTTCCTACAAATCAAGATCGAGAGAATGATTTGAAAGAAAGTGAAGGTGAATTAGTGCTCTCGAGTGAAACGACGCCGTCAGATTCAGCATCGTCGTCAAGGTCCTCATCATCCGGGAGGAACTCAAAGAAATGGATATTTTTGAAGGAACTATTGCACCGTAGTAAAAGTGAAGGTAGGGCCAATAACAAGGAGAGATTCTGGTCGTCTATTTCATTTTCTCCAGCCAAGGAGAAAAACAACCTGCCGTCGCCGGACAATAATAAAGAAGAAAATTTAGTGGACACCCAGCGGCAGAAAATGCAGCGCAAGGTTCATGAAATTTTAAATGTAATAATTTTTTGTGAATTTATTGTACGGTACGCATTAAATGCCTCAATTTATGAATGTAAAGTGGTCTAAGGTCCTTCTTCAGCAAATTATTAAAAAAGTTAAACCTTAACCTTATGGGTCCCTTACCACCCCTACTCTGAAACATCGTGAGGGAGGTAAATCCCAAATTATACCTTCAAGGGTACAGGGTGGAAGGTTGCTTGTACACTTGCACTTATCCAAGAGCCAAACCCATATTTCAGGATTCGAACCCTTGACGCAGCAGCCTCAAGTAAAGCTGGATGGATCTATGGTCTCTTATTAGTTCCCATATGTGGTGCACGAATTCTTGAAAAAGTGTTGCATAATCCTCCGATTATGTTAACTCGATTTTAGAGTAAGCCCATGTTTGATCCCCATTGCTTGAAAATGAAAATGGAGGGAATAATAATTTTTAGAAAAATGAGTGGTTGAAAAAGAATGAAAAGTTTTCGTTTACATATAATATTTTTTTTATGGAAGATTGTGTGGTTGAAAATATGAGAGAGAAAAATGGAATGTAATGTAAATTAGCCCTTGTTTGAGCCCCATTTTTCAATCAAAATACATTTTTCAACAGTGATTTGATATCATTTCAACCACACATTTTTCAATAAAATAATATTATACGCAAATCAAAATATTTTCCTTATTTTTTAACTACACATTTTTCATTAATACACTATTTAAAAATTCATTTTCTTCACAAAAATGGGGCTCAAACAAGGGTTTAATTTAATGTGGATCAAACAGGGGCTAAATAAATGTTCAAAGATTGGTGGCAGCCTTTCAAATTGATATAAAAGGGGGAAAATGACATTTTATTAATTTAGAGGGGGGCAAAATGATACACCAACAAAAGTTGTAAATAAAGTGACGGACAGAGCACAACGGCTCGATTCTCAAGAACTGGTGAAAATGAATGTCCGCCACGATTACATCTGCCTTTTTCACAGCTCATTCACTCGCTGTCGCACAGAACCGGAGATCCCACAACTCCATAATCCCGACTCCTGTCTCTCTCACAGAGAAAAGATACTGCTACTCTTTTGTGCACCGTCATAATTTCTGATCAATGCTTTTAAGATCACCACATAATTGCTGTTTTTTGTGCTTCATTTTGGTCCTATACTTGGTAGCAGTTGGTTTAGCAGGAGACCCATATGTGTTCTATGACTGGACGGTCTCTTACATCACTGCGTCCCCTCTTGGGGTTAAACAACAGGTCCTCAATTTCATTTTAATTTTGTTTCTGCTTTTTTGTTCTAGACCCTTTAACTTTAGCTATTATGTTTAATACTAGATTGTGAATTCTGGTTGTATGAAAATTTACTTTTTGCATTTAGGCATACTGATACTGATTACTCAATCAACTTGTGTTGTGAGTTGACCAGAGTTTTGTACATTACAATGGGATTGGGGGTGGCGATGTACTGTTGAATTTTAAAGAAGTTGGGACTGGAAATTTGGTTGGTCACTTATTAACAGATATATGTGCTTCGAGACTGCTCGATGGCAGTTTTATAACTGTTCTCTTCCTATTTTCTGTACCAAATTAAGGCATTGGTACACGGAATTTAGTGAGAATTGGGGATTGTAGACTAAAGAATCGAACTTTTTGGGTAATGAACATGTGAATTTATGCGGTTCAATCTATGATGCGCATCAGCTAGAAATGAATCCTTAAGTTATAATCTTGGGATTGCATTTTATGCGGTTAAATAGTTTATAATATTGTTTTTCAATTTTTCCCATATGAAGTTAAATTTCTCATATTTTCTCAATGTTGCATTCACATCTATTAGCTCTGTCCCTTCGCACGACATCTATGAAAGAAGCAGTGGGCTAACTGCTGGTGAAGAGGAACAGGGAGGATCACTAGATTGATAGGAAGAAGCAAGCATAGTTAGTGCCTGCAGGAGTCATTGCTCAACTTTTGTCCCTTCCAGTGCACCAAAAAAAAGAAAGAAAGAGGAATTCTTGACTACTAAAGCCATTGTTGCGAGCCATAAACGAGCCTCGTTGTAGTATTAGGAGTGATGAATAAACTTTTCAGCACTATGAATTGATATATTGGAATGAAAAAATTCAGATTTGTCCTCCTCCCATCAAACTATTTCTCCTACAAGTAGCAAATTTAGCAAGAGATTGAGCAACCAAGCTTCCTGACAGTTTCACAATAAATAGGTCTGCCCTCTTAAGACATGCTATAACCAACCATTATTAATAATGATAAGATGGCACTAACAAGTCTTGGACTTGGTCTTCAAAGCATTGGGGTTAAATTATCAATTGTTAACAAATTTAATTAATTGTTTTTATAATTCTAACCTTTCAAACAATAGTATGATAATGCTATTTGATATTTGTTTTACATATATTATAACTGGGTACTTTTCTATTAACTGTTAATAAAATAGTTTTACTGGTTAACCATAGGCGATTGCACTGGGATTCAAATTATGGGATGGAGGTTGCACTGAAGTATGGTAAACTCATAGAACAGTATATTAAACCTTTTGACTTACAATTTTCCATTTAAGAAATAAATGGCGATCCAAATCTTTCTTCTCATGAGATTATTTGCTGTAATCCAGCACGAGAACAGGCTAAACTCTTTTAAGGTATTGAACTCGTAACTAAATCTTGCAATAACAAGAGCTTTAATCTTTAAAATGTTATGATTTTGCATCGAATGAAACTAGGCCAAGGTTTTCAATTTGATGTTTTGTAGCTTTGTAATTGGAATATGAACATATTTCTAGCTTAAATGAAAGGAACTCGATCCAAATATGAGAGAGCATCATGAACATAAATAATCCAAAAACAAATCTGGCTAACTTCTTATGGTTTTCGATGATTTGGCGATTCATCATCAATAACAATGATTTAACATGACTTATCAAAATGTGAAGTGGTGAGCTAGGCCTTTGTCCAGTGGTAAAAAGAGAATGGGTTCATCTCTCACCAAGGAACTGTGGACTATTTGTTCAGTATTTTATTGGACTCATAGACATATAAGGGGAAAAAATGAAGAGCTTCATAGTGGCTGTGTAGGACTGAGGGCAAGCTATAACTGATAGCTATTTTACTTCTCAAATCTTTTAATTTTCTCAACAACCCAAGCTTAAACTTGGTCTGCATCCTGGCCTTGGCAGTGATTGTTGCCATGATTAGTCAAACAATCCCCTCAGCAGGAAATGCTTCTGCTATTTATTGTACTCAAAAGTTGGATCTACTACTAATTTTAGGACCTAGCGCTTTATGAAAGCTACAATCAATGGCGTTGATGGTTCTCAGTTATTTTGATCTTCTTTCAAGCCATAGAGCACAATCCTAAGAGAAAATATGTTAATCTCTGCAATATGCTTTTGTCTGAAAGTGTTTTTTTAGTACCAGATCTTTATACCTTGATTTGACTTGCGTTTGTTGGAAAAGTTGGTTTTTCTTTGTCATTAGTTTTCTTTGGCATCTCCATAATTGTGAGTTTTGGGGTTGTTCAGTACCTTTTACTACTATCTTTTATTGTAACGCCTTATGGGACTCCATAACTGGAGGAATTGGAACAGTCTAATAGATCATAACTGGAATGATCTTTTCCCTTCTCTTTTTGCTCATTAGTCTTTCTTCAGAAAAATTTCACTTTGATGCATGTTTATTTGTTCTATCTCCTCTTCAATTTTGTACGACACCAACGAAATGCCTGCAGCTGACCACTAAACATTATATTTCAGGTGATTGGTGTAGAAGGACTATTTCCTGGCCCCATTCTGAATGTTACCACAAATTGGAATGTCGTTGTCAATGTCAAAAATGATCTCAATGAACCATTTCTTCTCACATGGTATATCACTGAATCTTGATCCAAATATGATATAATGATGATAGTGATTTAATTGTGCTAGTGAAGTGCAGGAATGGCATTCAACATAGAAAAAATTCGTGGCAAGATGGTGTTACAGGCACAAATTGTCCCATTCCTGCTGGTTGGAATTGGACATATCAGTTTCAGGTCAAAGACCAGATAGGCAGTTTCTTTTACTTCCCTTCCCTTGACTTCCAGAGAGCTACGGGTGGATATGGAGGAATTATTGTTAACAACAGAGATGTCATTCCTGTACCTTTTGGAATGCCGGATGGAGATATTACCCTCTTAATTAGCGACTGGTACATAAAGAGTCATAAGGTTGGAACTTGGAAGAGATGATGTATTTCTCAGTTCTTATATTCCTGCTTTAAAATGTAATCTCTGTGCCTCTGACTTGGTGACCGTTATATATGGGGTAACAGGAACTTAGAAAAGATATTGAAAGTGGAACTAGCCTTGGAACTCCTGATGGCGTTCTGTTTAACGGATTAGGCCCTTACAGATTTGATGAAAATCTTGTGCCAGACGGTATTACTTATCAGATAATAAATGTTGATCCAGGTATCTCTTTGTAGCTTTACATTCTGCTAAATGCTGAATTTTTTGGTCCATAGATATGTGGAATAAATGTGCATTCACATGTTACAGTTGCTATTGTTGAATGAACATAGCTATTAAACTTTATTTTGGGATTTCTAATAAAAAAAAAGGGATGTTAATGGCTGAAATTCATGCAGAAGACCTAGGACAATTAATTGGTTTTACTGGTCTATGCTTCATTAGTTTGTAGCAGTAACACACACAATTCATAATGAAGAAGAACCAAGTCATATGCACAATATGGATGATAATCAAGATGGAAAGCTCCCCTGTCGTCCCTGAGATTATGATGAATTGGAAGATTTTCAGCCTTATATCTGTTAAAGATTCTTGAAGAGTATCTTCTCAAACATCATACCTAATGTTGAAGAAGGAATTTTTTTTATTTTTTCGACAAATCATTTCAATGTGGGCTTGGAAGTCCTTCAGTGAAATAATTTCTTGCTACTTCACAGGCTCCTGTAGGTATTTTCAAAATTCAATTTGAATAGACAATTACAGACAATGTTTCCGTTTGTGCATTGGAAGACGCATTTTGGGAGGAATGTACTATTCTTTTTATCTGTAGCTGACCCATAAAACTAAAATCAGGATTCTTGAGATGAATTGAGTTTCAACACCAAATACCCCAAGATAGGAAACCATTGCTTTTTTTTTTTTTTTTTTTTTTTTTTTTTTTTTGTGTCTTCATTGTATATCAATTGACTTCTCTTAATCTTCAGTTCATGTGAATTATAGCTGTATATTTATACACATTTCAGTTTGATTAATTAATTTGTCATACATGCAACAGGCAAAACCTATCGCCTACGGGTACACAATGTTGGAATCTCTACGAGCTTGAATTTCAGAATCCAGAATCATAACTTGGTTCTTGTAGAGACTGAAGGATCTTATACCGTACAACAGAACTACTCAAACATGGATATCCATGTGGGTCAGTCATACTCATTCTTGGTAACAATGGATCAAAATGCTAGTAGCGATTATTACATTGTTGCCAGTCCACGGTTTGTCAATTCCTCAGCCTGGTCCAAGGCTACAGGTGTTGCTATACTGCACTACTCAAATTCACTGGGGCCTGCATCAGGTCCTCTTCCAGACCCTCCAAACGAATATGAGACGTCTTTCTCAATGAATCAAGCAAGATCCATAAGGTTGGACATTAACACATTAGAAATATCTCTGGATTGTAGCCTTAATTTTACGATAAATGACTTGGATTTCACTTTACAATATGTTGTTTAGAATAAGTGAGACGGCTTTTTTTACCTGTTATGTTCATCAATACAAGGAATATGTTATATGATCCTTGGAACAATTGGAATTTGATATTGTCCAAGGAATCAAGGCAAATAATGCTAAAGCATTTCTTCATTGTGAGACTTTCTTATTGATCATTTTGCACCATGTTTCTTTGCGTTCAATAGCTTAGCTAACATATTAGGTCCTTCAATATTATAATCTTAAGCTGACTTCGTATACCGTGTTGTAATACAGAACGAATGTTACTGCTGGTGCTGCTCGCCCAAACCCACAAGGATCTTTTAAATATGGTGAAATTACTGTGACTGACGTATATCTCATCCTCAATAGGCCTCCAG